GATCTGTTGTATTCCGAGAGTCTTAATGGCACTTTCCAACAGGATGCCGCTCCCTTGTAGCGACTCCAATGTCTGTGCTGCGCAAATAAAACAATATCCCTCTTCTCCTCGTCGCAGTATCATTGGCCTCTGTGACCCGCACAGTAACCAGAGTTGGTCCTGTATACGGGCTTCTGAGGTACACAGCACGGTGTTTCCAGCGACCGTGTAAAATGCGCCCAATCGATCCCCGCTCGGAGCGTCCCTATGGACCGGAGTGATCAGCGTGTCGATATAAGTACCCCAAGCCTTCAAAGCCACGAAGTAGTCATAGGTAGTGAGCTCTAGGAACGAAGCGTTGGCTTTACTCCATCGTGGGTCGTTGATGGTGTTTATAGGGGATAGCTTTTCTTTCACAAGCATTCGGTATCTCGCGTCTTCCTGGCAAGTCCAGTCTGGCACCCATGACGGCAATAAACTGGTAAGCGCTCCTCTGTCTGACGTATGCGTCAGAATCTCCAAACTGTTTTCGAACTCGATGATTCGCATCGCAGTATGGATGAGAAGAACACGTAAAGACCACTCAGGAGCGTAGTTGGGAATGATCCGATATCCTGGATACGTGAGTCCAAGCATGGCATATATCTTGTCGCGAACATCTGAAGTTGCATAATGTCGCGAACACGAAAGCAAACTAACAAGATCGGTTGGTCCAGACCAGCGACTTTTGCTCTCGACCATCCAGGCCACCAGTCCTTCTGCTTGTTCAGCCCGGCTGGACCGCTCTCGAATACGAAGCATTCGGTGACACTCAGGTGTATTTGCGCCGAACCTTTCTTGAATCTTTGAGAAGAGGACATCTGCGAGGATGAGATGCCTAACGACAGACAGATACGTGTCAAGGATTGGCGATGCAGTTGCCCAAGCAATGGACTCCTTATTGAAAAGGAAATGAGCGCGGGTCGCGCTCATGAACTCTTGATATACCCATGATCTTGTCCACCAAGGGCTTTCGAATACGTCGTATACTGCAAGCCAATCTTCGACAAACTTTGCATTCGCGACGCTGTCCAGTAGATGTTCGATGAGCCTGAACCAGTGAAACCGCACAAAAGGAACACCCAAGGTAAGAGTGAATGAGCTCTCTCCGCGGTACTGCTCATCAAGATCGTCTCCTTGTCGAGGGACGTTTTGACAGAGGTCGTGTAACCAGTGCATGCCTCGGCTGCTAATCTTCCGTGTTGAGAGACATATGAGAACTTCTTCTGCACTCGAATAGATCTCTCGCATGAGCGCGACTTGTTGAGATCTCTCAAGTAGATTGTGTTGGCTTATGCAGATCTGATCTACCCACAAAAGAAGCTCTCTCGTTCCATATGTTTTCTTCCAGAAAAAGCGCGCCTCCGCGAGAGCATGCGCAAGATTTGCGAATGCTCTAAATTTGCGACCATTGACTATGATGCACTGCGTCCGCTTCGGGTCGCCGGCGCAGTAAGAGAGTGCGGAGTACGTTTTCGTGACGCTTTCGAGGGGTGCCTTAGTTAGTAACTCGCATTTGACTGTGCCATCTCCACAGTCAGGAAGTATTCTGAGCAAACGTATCTCCTGCTTGGACGGATCTAGTTGTTCATATTTGTAGGCGGCGTAGAACTCGTCATTGTCAGGTGTGCTAAAGATGTCGTGTCCAGGCTGCGAGACATTACTCGTACTCGAGCACATGTGCAGGTGTCGCAGGCCAAGCGCTGTCGGGAACATGAACCTTATTACTAATAACGCTGTGCGATGACCTCCATATAAGCTGAGCTATGATGCTAGAACAATACAACATATACACTCTCTCCTAATTATTCTGTCTACAATACCCGCACCTAACCGTGCGACAGCAGGCCTGTGCTCATTGTAGCGTAAGCCTTGAGAATGGCTGTCAGGATGTTGAGAGACACCCAACAATGCAGCAGAATACCTGGAAAAAGCCGGAGGTTATCCTTGTGACGTGACTGCTGTAATACCACGATAAGCATAGAAGAAGGTAACTCTAGAGGGACACGCAACAACCTGCAATTTTCCAGTGCGTGTCTGCTGCGCGGGTCGTGGAGCACCCTCAAGCCGTTGCTGTCGTCGGTCACCAGGCGGACTGCGACCCGCGTTAGCTTCGTTCGTCACTAGGCGCGCGTGCGCTTCGATCCACGTAGCGACCCACTTTTGCCGTTTATGCACTCAGGCTATAATTAGGGTAAAGAACGAGCGACGAGACATGTAGATAAAATGGGATAACTGGAGACGTGGAGAGGTTGTAATCCAAAGGCAGTCAGGCTGGGATGTCGGGCAGAGGACAGAGGGCAGCGGTTGCCTGGCGCCTGCGTGCGCATGCATGTGGCTGTGGCAAGGCTGAGCCTCCTCGAGCTGCGCTGTCTCGACATCAGCGCTTCCCCAGTCAGGCACGCAACTAAACTTCACTGCGACAACATTGCTCCTTCTCGCTGCTATGCCACCATTCTTGCACGCGTCGGAGCTCGTTCGCGACCTTACGCTTGCACCTGGAGTGTCTCATGGTGTCGCAGGCCAAGCGCTGTCGGGAACATGAACCTTATTACTAATGACCCCGTGCGATTACCTCCATATAAGCTGAGCTAGGATGCTACAAACAATACAACACATACACTCTCTTCTAACTATTCTGTCTACAATACCCGCACCCAGCTATGCGACAGATACCGATGCTGAGCCGCCGCCACCCAAGGTCCGTTCATGGCTAGGTAGCCTTGGTCGAACGGACTGCTGCCATCATTGGTGTAGCATGTGTTTGACGGAAGGTACTCGACAGCGGGCGGTGTAGCCAAGCCGGCCGCAACGGCTGTCGAAGGATAGTGTTGTGGAAGAAAAAGATTAGTGTTCTGCGCCGTGCTTCCTGCGAGCCCACCTGATGTTGGAAACAGCGAGTGTGCAGCTGGCAGCAGAGCGTCTAGAGGGTCTTCTTTACACTGCTGCTGCGCCGGCGCGACGCTGCTGTCTTGCGGCCGGCTACCTCGGTCGCGATGTAGGTCTGCTATGTCGGTCTCGACACAGCCTTTAGGAAAGGACAGATCGGGCGGAGCGTGGGGCTTCGCAGGCTAGAGATTATTGCTTAAGCGTGATATAGATGCGATGATGCCCTCAGCTTCCTTAAGTCTCTTCTTGAGTTTCTTGCCTGCACAGGTCTTAGCAAAGGAGCGCAGAACAGGGCGGCTCTTACCTACGGTATTAACGCTGAGCAAGGCGGTTCTGTATCCTGCGGCGCTCGGCGGGGTCTGTAATTTGGTGCTAGTCATCAGTCTAGTAAGCAGCACGGCAAGACATAATGCATAATCTGCATGCGGGTTGACGGCCGCAGGAGGCGACTAATTTAATAGTTTTTAGTGTTCAAAAGAGATGCGACTGCGCTGCCGGCATGCTAAGGCTAGCGTGTGCTACCTATGGCCGTCTACAGGGGGTCGTCAAGAGATAGAGGACTATTCTGGCAGGCCCTGCAGCGACAACGGCGCACAGCGACGGGAAACCCGACCACTGGCTGGAAACGACGCCTCTAGGCGCAAGGATATGGCTCAAGATAGTGCAGGCCGCCCGACGATGCGCACGCCTACTAGAATAGTACACTGTCCAGAATAGTATACTGTCTAGAATAGTACACACCACCCAGGATGCTGTGACACTACTTGGCATTAGGGGCAACCGCTCGGGATGGCATGCGGCACTCTTTAGAAGCATCTCTGCTACCTCTCTATAGCGACAGCAACTGGGCGTGACTCTGCTTAAAGCCTTCGAGGCAAGGGCTGTTGTCTTAACAGGCACGATTCCCTTCTCGCTCTGCTTGCGATCTACTAGCTTTTAGTTCTTAGCACCTCCTTTGCGATGTCTAACAGACAGACCTTAACCTTTCGCACCCTAGCTTCTCACAACACGACTAAGCAGGCTAGCTAATCGCCTAGATACTATGTATGTCTATCCCTCCACCTCACAAAGACTACGCTTACATGCACCTGCAGTACGATAACTGCTATTTCCTCGACCAGCTGCAAGCCCTCTTAAACTTGCTGAGTACTGTTGCACAGCGCATAAGTGAGAAGAACGTGATTATCTACAATCTCTAGGAAAACTCTAACTAAGAACGCAACGCAATGTTGTACAAGATCTCGACACTAAAATAGCAACTTGCTGTTAAGAAACAGAACACGAAGATTGCAGCGCAGAAGCGAGAAATTAGTCATAGCGCGGAAGAGGAGGAAGCGTGTCGAGATGGTGGAGCTGAGACCACCAAGCCCGAAGTGGAGCCCGAGCAGGCCGAGGAATGGAGCTTGCAGTCGCTCGAGGCAGAGCGCCACAAGGTACAACAACAACAACAACAACAAACCTTAGAACCAAAGCCTCATCAGAGGGATCAAGTCAAGGTGCTCGTGCAGCGAAGGGCAGAGAGACCTGCCCCTCAGAGCCCGCAGGCAGCGGAGACAGAGAGCTGGCAATCCGCTCGCAAGACCGTTTCTCCGAGCGTCGAGCATGCGGCCTGTAAGATAGCCTCCTCTTTATCCAAGACATGGCATGGAGAAATACTGGTATCAAGATGTTGACAGTCTCTTGACCAATTAATGAAGGTCAATGTAGCTACAGGGAGCATGTACTTCGCATCCGAAGCACAAGGGCGTTCTATGTCTAGACATGATACTTTCTTTTTAATGCAGAAGCTGTCATAGGATATCATTCTGTAAGACATGACATGGACATTAGCATTCACGTGGCAGATAACAAGTCTGTCTCTTGTATGGGCAACTGGTGTCGAAATGCTATGTATGCGCGCAATTCCGCACTTACCGAAAATGGTCATTAATGTGAGATTTGATTCCTGCTCCCCTCACCCAGCACAGTAGACCATCCCTGATGCCGTGCCATCTTCCCATACATGGGTGCTGTATCATTCTCACGTGCTAAATCAGACCTCGATCGGCGCTCATTGTTCCAACTGTCCCTTCGTCGAATCTGATCTTCCCAGATCAGTGACCCCTCGTACCACCACGGCCTCTTATCCAACTTCCTCGGCCCCTAACACCACGCCAGGTCCCATACCCAGTAGAGATTTTAGTCCTCTCCAGCAGCCCTTCTTCATCCCAAGTCCAAATGTCGTCCTTCTCAACGAGATCATTGACGCTCTCACCTTCCTTGTCTTCGGCCATTTTATCGGCGCCTCTTCGTAGAAGCATGTTGAAGGCCTTTGTATCACACAAGCGGGATCTGTAGCACTGGTTGTACAGAACATGTAATGGTGTTGCGCCTGTGATGTCCTTGGCATTGACATCGACTCCTGCTTCGAGTAGCATTTCCAAGATGATGGTGATGGCAGGCAATGTTGTTATAGTACCCGAAGAGCACGCTGCATGCATTACAGATTGGCCAGATGAAGTTACGGCATGAACGTCCGCGCCTTCCTCCATGAGATACTGCACGGTCTGGACGCTGGCTGTACGTGCTGCGATGTGAAGGGTTGTTTCGCCCTTTGCGTTTCCAGCTCGAAAATTTGCACCAACATCGACAAGAGAACGAACAAGCTCAATGTCACCGATACGGGCAGCACCGTGCAGTGCTGTCTGGTCACTGGCTGTAGCTGCATGAACATTCGCTCCATGTGCCAGTAGTATTCGTGTGACTTCAATGCTTGGGCATTGTTCTGCCGAAGGGTGGAGTGGGAAAGAGCAATCTTCGAAATCGTCCTCTTCATTGCTAAGACTGTAAAGTAGCGGTGTGTATCCACATGAGGCAGGCTCATCGATTGCCGCGCCCATCGATATCAGGTATCGAATGACATCCAGACGTCCGTTCTTGCAAGCCGAGTGAAGCGGCGTCAAGCCATACTTGTCCTTCGCAGAAAGATCCGCGCCATGCTGGTAAAGTATTTCGGCAAGAGCTCGGTTCGCGGTATAGTGTAAAGGTGTTCGAAGCGCTCGATCTTTATGGTTGACATCTGCTCCAGCGGCTATAAAGGCCTCCAAGAGGGAAGGCTCAGTGTTGACGCTATAAACGATACCAAATATGGGAGTATGACCTCCCTTGGTCTGGCTTTCTTGGCGCAAGCCATGTCCCAGAAAGAATCGCGTGAGGTCTTGATCTTCAACAACTGTCCAAAAACCACTATTCCCAGTTGCAGGATGTTCGGCATTCACATCAGCACCAGATGCTACTAGCTTTTCCAGTATAATCGGCAACCGTTTGGGGTTTGCTATGGTGCTCCAACGACAATCATCGACGCAGATATATTCTAGGTCAACGGCAAGGGCAACGCCAATACCTAGGGCAGTTCGATCTTGAGGCTTAGTTTCGTCTGGAAATCCGCGCACTTGGGTGAGAAGAAATTCTACTGCTTCCAAATGCCAGCAGATTGCCGCCCGGCCCAATGCTAACCTTACACCATCAAGTTTTGGTTGATCGGAAAACCTCTGGTCAGGTAGCTTGCTCAACATGATGCGCATGCATTCTACATGATTCAGTGATGCGCTTCTCCCGAATGCACTGGCTGGTATTTCAAGACCAGCATCAATCAAGGCGGACATTGCATGCTGAGCACCTAGCCAAGCAGCAAGATCTACGGCATCGAAAGGTGGTTGCATCGCAGTGTCTAAGGTATCCTGGAGCGTGGGATCTGCTCCAGCAGACAGGAGCAGTTGAACGGCGTCTCCATGGTTGCCTCGAATCGCAAGATGCAATGGTGTACAGTTGCAGGCACTTCGGATATCGATGTCCTCGCAGAGGGGCACAAGAGATGCTAGCAATGGGATGTCGCCTTTGTATGCACCTTTGTGGATGGGTAGGTCGCTGCTCTCGAGCGGAGATAGGTCATCAGAAACGTTGGTTAATTGTTCTGACATCTGGAAGCGTCTCAAGGGACCATATAGGTCGCTAGAGACAACTTGTGGGACGATGTAGATGGTTGTCAGGATGAACATCCAGGGGAACATGCTAGACTATGATATTCAAAAGGAGTTGTCTGTCAATCAGTGCACAAGTGAAAGATTCTGCGCCGAGGTCTTTTTGCTGTCAGCATACCGATTGCTTGGTACAAACGACATTAGGCTCAATGTGCCTCCAGAACGCGGGGCTGCCTTCCAAAAACGGTTAGTTTCTTGCCACTATTCTCCGGACCGATCTCCTTGTTACAACGGAACGCCTTACGCCCCGCCAAGTATTCATCATATATCATAACACAGCCCGACGCGATGATAATTTTGGTTAAATCCTCAAGCCATGCATGCAGGGACAGGCGGGGATGCTGCTTCATTGTACCATGCGGCTCCCGTGGAGGTCGAGCTTCCTGTTCAGTATAGCGTGGCTGTACTTGCGGACCGATGCGCCCTTTCGAGATCGTTCGTTCCGCCTCACGGAAATTAGGTAGGACCAATGCGCATTAGGCAGAGAAATAGCCCCTGTATATCTAGGTATAACGACTACGCCGTAGTAAACTAAACCTCTTTTGCAAAGGCCACGGCCAGCCAGGAGAAAAACTCTGTCAACTGTGCCACTTACATACATTCTTCAACTAACTGGCCATTGAAATGGGCTGGGTTCTGGCCTTGGCTAATATGCTCCGAAAATATCCCTACGCATGTGCTCATGCGCTCCAATATTGTAGTAGCGGTCGGACCCGCATCAGAAGTCTACACGGCTCAGTCATGCTGGCGGTATCGTGCCAGTCGTTAGACAACAGAGTTAGAGTGGGTTCTACTTCTGGAACAGTGTGCCCAAGTCTGCCTTGAGTCGACCAAGTCATATTAAAGCACACCTGGTCTTGGGGAAAAACATCACAGTTCGGCCCAGCTTGTCTTCATTCGTTATACCATCTACAAGATGTCTGCAATCATGTCAACAGCCACCCTTATGGTGGGCTTCATATCACTTGCGTCGGCATACATCATCGATCCCCCAACAACAGCTGCCGCGGACACCATCCAAGATTGTTCTGCTTGGTATGTGGTAGCTGGTGGAGAAAGCTGTGCGTCCATTGCTGCAGACCAATGGATTACAGTCGATCAATTCAATGCATATGTAAGTTAACATGAGCATGTGAATGACTTCAAAACTGACTCAACAGAACCCGTCCCTTGGTTCTGGGTGCAAGCTTGTCACCGGGAATTCGTATTGCATTGAGCAGAACTTCGGTTTTCCCGTGACCACTCTACCACCGACCACCAAGCCTACCAGCACACCCCCACTGAAAACCACGCCTGCGCCGACGCCAACAAATGGAATTGCTACACCTAAGCCAATACAGACAGGCATGGTCTCGAGTTGCGACGAGTTCTACCTGGTCGTGAAGGACGACACCTGTTACAACATTGCCGAGAAATATAGCATCACGCTTGATCAGTTTTATGCATGGAATCCAGCTGTTGGGACAACGTGCGGCAAACTTTGGCCTGAGAACTACGTTTGTGTCTCCATCATTGGCTTCCCAGTCAGCAGCAGCAAAACCACACTTATCACCACACAAAAACCCCAAACTTCGAGCTATGTTATACCACCACTATGTCGCTTCGACCTGTCCAAGGGCCAGTATATCTGTGACCCCAGCCCTACGACGACGACCAAGCCGACGACTACGACCACAGGCAATGGCATCGTTACACCTACACCAATTCAGTCAGGCATGGTCTCCAATTGCAAGAAGTTTTACAAGGTGGTCTCAGGAGACGGTTGCTGGGCTATCAGTAACTCAAACAACATTCAGTTGGATGACTTTTATAAGTGGAATCCGGCCGTGAACGCCGGCGGAGAATGCAAGGGACTGCAGGCAGCTGTCTGGGTCTGCATTGGCGTCTAACAGTTCCCCTCGTGTATGGGCTGCAACTTTGATTTCGATTGTATATATTGAGCTAACAAGACGATTTGGAGAGGTTGGGAGCGACACTAGACAGTAACTTCTACGATACATTGTATCAGGATGTATATGTCTACGTGGGAGTCTAGATAATGTTTTTCCTTTATACTACAATCTTCTTCGTTGTTGTATGATTAGAACATGATTTATTTACCATCAATGCCATCTATCAATAATGTCAGACATCGTGTCGTCGTAAAAGCGTTCCTATAGTCAATTCATTATCTAAGCTGACAATGGAACAACCTTGATAATTCCTGTTCCTCGATTTGTCTATGTACTGGATCCCCTATTACGCGCCGATGGTAGTCGTCTTAGACTTGCAAGCCAATGAGACAATCAATATAGACTACTGCGAGTTGATGCATCATCATGACCATCGTCTCGTGGCACTAAATCTTTCCAAGAATACCCTAATGGATCATTGGTCTTCACAATTTTGTGTATGAAGTAAAAGTGCTATAGAGTTTGTATAAAGACTCTTATTCTAAATTTCATCGAGCTTTTAACTACTGACCAGACTCAAACAGTACTGCCGTGCATTTCGAAGCATGAGCATCTGCTTATGTTTGAAAGATCCAGCAGTCTTATACGGAACCATTTTTGTTCGGATCACACGGCAATTTTTCGCAAGAACAATACAAAGAAGTGAATGACAATTGATATATAAGCTCAATGAATTGATTTTAAGAGAAGTTCTTCTAGACCATAAGTTTTCTCATGCTTTCTGAGGCTTGATGGATCATCAAGTCATCTATAGAGCTCGAGCGCTTTGTCGGAATCATGTTCAAACCAAAGAAGGCGTGGCTTGGGCTAGAGTAATCAGCCAAGTCTTTCATGGGCGGAGTGATTCATGTCAGTGAGCAGCTTACCTGCGTTCCAGTCCCTGTTGGGATGGATGCAATATGTTCGGCCTGGAGTCGCGGCGATCCTCTGTGAGCAGCCTTGCATGTTTCTGAGAGACGGATTGACTGCAATGAATAGATCTCCTGGTGTGTTGAAGTCACGAAGAATGGCCTCACAAGTGTCACCAGCCTTTGTCGTGTAATATTCTCCACATCGAGTCGTCGTGCCAGGTGCCAGGGTTGCGCCCGAGGGAAGTGTGGCCTGGTTGTCGGAGTATCCATCGCCGGAGCCACCATGACCACCAGTATTACCACCAGTTCCGTTGGCAGGTGGGTTAGTGAAGGTTCCACCTGGTGGAGATATACAGATGGTCTTTCCAAAGTTTGGATCCGTTTGATCAAGGTTTGAGCAATATGGATCAATCAACTCGTTCCAGAGAACAATGTCCTGCCAGGAGACCTGGTTCTCCACAGCAACATCCGGACACGAGTCAGACTTCTGTACCTCGTAGAGCTAACACGAGTTAATAGGTCTCTCGCTTTCTCTGTGTGATGATCACATACCTTCTCACATGATGGTGGCAAGCAAACTTTTGTGCCGGCTGGAATGTTTGAGCAGTCGAAAAGCATAGGGTTGAGTGCATAGAGACTAGTTGATGACACAAGTTTCGACTTGGCAATGCTGTCACAGGTATCGCCATTCACCGTTTCGTATGACTGCGAAGCGCAAGAAGGTGCACTTGGGGCTGGCATGTTGAAACCATCGTTCGGCTTGGTGGGTGTAGAGGATGGTAAGTTGCAAGCTAAGGACTCGTTAGCCTCTCCGAACTATTCATCGCGATCGGATATACCTGCTCTTCACCACGTAATCATACGTCTCTTGGTAGCCTCCAGGTGCATAGACCCCGTATTTGTTGGCCTGCATCGTCGCCAGCTTCTGAGTGTAGCAGTAAGAGCAGAGATTTTCTTTTGCCATGTCTGCAAGCTCGTCGACCTGCTCCCAAGATTCGATTATGTCTGGAGATGTTAGCTGTACTCGGTCTTCAGCTTGGGCTGAAGCTTGCTTACCGTTGCAGTACCTAGACTTGCTTGTGTCCATCAAGCATGTCTCATTCCATCCTCCCCAGATAGTATCAATCAAAGCTGCAACAGGATATCCAGCATAAATTTCCTTCTTCGCTGTGCAAGCTGAGTTCACTTGTCGGCTGAATATCCTCAAGGCTCCAGAGCAAGAGTTATCGCACACCGAAGCAGACAAATCCTTGTCGCCGAGACTACGACGATATCTTGGAGTAGAAAACGAGGCGGTGTAGTTGTCACACTTCAGTGGTTGGTAGAGTATTCGTTCGCAAGTCTCGCCGAGACCAAGACCTTCAAGAGAGCCTGGTTCGACAATTGGGAAACCTCCGAAGACAGCACGCGCAGATAGAGCATGGTGTCTAGCAGAATGAGCATGTCTATGTCGTTCATGTGCGTGTGTATTAGCGAACAAGACGCTGAGTGATAGAATAAAGAACAGAGTTCTGAACGACATGGTGCTAAGATAGCAGGACTAGTTCGAAGTTTGGGAGAGAACACTTGCCACTGCAGAAAGCAGTGTTGTGTCGTGGAAAGATTATTCACAATGAACAGCTTCCACACAACCACACGAGACTATTGATCAAGTCTTGACATCCCAGCTCGCCAAGTTGATACCGGCGAGAATCTACATCCTAAGTCAGCAGCTAGTTGAGATGTCTGTGCACCGTATCCACTGTCATTTCAGGAAATAGGGCCGAATGGCAAAAATCCATATTGCGGCACAGCAGACGCACCCATGCACAACAAGCGAGAATGTCTTGGCACCTGCCCCCAGGAAATGAAGTCTGCCTGACTGAGTTACCTTGATCAGTGCGTTATGGAAGAAATTTTTGATGTTTGTAAGGCGGGTAAACTGTGCCGTAGTCTAATGGTGCCCTAGCCCACATCGTTCATGGGTGCGGGCCGCACGAGATATGCAGGGTCAGGAGTATGTACTCTATATAGCTAGGATAAGAATACAATGCCATGGCCCAGGCACATCTGGCCCTATCCAAACTCCCAGATATTTGGTAGCGATCAGAGAAAAAAGATCACGCCCAAGAAGTGATCCACTATATGTCGCATACTCCTGGGCGAGCACGTACAAGACAATATCCGATAAGCCGCTGCGGACTAAGCTCAAAATAGGGTGTAGTCGGTCGAGCGAGAATGATACTGGATTTGGAAAGTGTGCGACAGCTCTGAACATGACTATGCGCCAGCGTAGCATAGTAACGCTAGGCCTCGGTCGACAAAAGACTTACTACATTACTTCGCTCATTCACGACGTGTACCAAAGTCTATATCGTTGATCCAGCTCTGGATTGACTTGAGAAAGCTTCGCAACAATGGTTTTGAGGCTGTCTCCTACACTCCTTACATGGCTTGTTTCTTTTCTTCTCGTAACTTGGTCGTTTGCACAGGACTGCAGCGCAACAAATCGATGTCCCGAGGGGTGCTGTAGTACGTCGCCTCCAACCCGGGACGTAGTCTATGTACATACATGCTAATGAAGCACAGGCAAGGAGGGATATTGTGGGTATGGACCGGAATCATGTGCAGCAGATATCTGCGTTGCAGACTGTGACCGTAAATCACCATGCAATCCGGGTTGGGGAATGGAGTGGTCTAAAGATGATAAATGCCCACTCAACGTTTGCTGTTCCAAGTATGTACGAGAGAGATGCTTGGAGCCATATTGTACTAATAGATGCAAGGTTCGGCTTTTGTGGCACCACCAAAAATTTCTGTGGCGACAAAGAGGTCGAACGACCATCTTGCAGCTCCAGCAAAGGCATAGACAAAGTTATTGGCTACTATGAGTCATGGAGTCTGACAGAGAGGTCCTGCAACGGCCTTCTTCCAGAAGAGATTCCTTATGGCCTCTATACGCACATCAAGTCAGTTGCCCCAACCAGGAGGTGCGTCCTGATGAATACTAATGCAGTCAAACAGTTTCGCGTTCGCAACTATCAACCCAAAAACCTTCGAGGTCGAAGCAACAGACTCGGGTGCCGAGGATCTAATGAAGCGAATTGGGACTTTGAAGATCCTTCAACCTAATCTCAAGATCTGGATTGCCATTGGTGGTTGGACCTTCAGCGACGCGGATCAACCTACCGCAAAGACGTTCTCTATTCTGGCGGCTTCGAAGCCCCGTCAGCAGGCATTTGCAAAGTCGCTCCTCTCCATGATGAATACATATGGCTTCGACGGTGTTGATATTGATTGGGTGAGTATAGCGCTACACATGAGACGATCTTAAAGCTAATTCGTTCTTAGTAAGTCACAAGGAATTGCATTCCGCTGCTCTTCGTTCTCGAGCGGTACAGCATTGTGGTATCATGAAGGATTGTCTAACTATTGATGCTAGGGAATACCCAGTTGCAGAAGACCGCAACGGAAACACTTACGATTACTTGAGTTTCACCGCCTGGATGGACTCACTCAAAACTAGCTTGGGCAATAAAGGCTTGAGTCTGACCTTGCCTGCAAGTTATTGGTATCTGCAGCATTTTGACATCACGCACCTGGAGAAACATGTGGACTGGTTCAATGTGAGTTCGGCTCTGTCATCAGCAAATAAGTTGAGAATCCTGACGCAGAGGTAGATCATGCTTTACGACTTACACGGAGCATGGGATATCGGTAACAAGCACACCGGGCCTTTCGTCGACGCTCATACAAACATGACTGAGATCAATGGAGCGCTTGACCTCCTCTGGCGAAACGACATTAATCCGAACAAAGTAGTTTACGGCATGGGCTTCTATGGACGTAGCTTCACTCTCACTGATCCCTCATGCTCGTCACCAGGATGCACGGTAGCATCTGGAGGCAATGCAGGAAAGTGCTCAAACACTGTCGGTGTGCTTCTCAACCCCGAGATTCAGGACATCATCAAGAAAAATAACCTGAAACCCAAGCTACATGTAAGTTCACAGTTGGAAAGGGTAATGCACTAAGCTAACGACTTCTTTGTAGGAGAAGGAAGCTGTCAAAACCGTTAACTGGGGATCCCAGTGGGTGTCTTTTGATGACGCAGAGACATGGAAATTGAAGGGTAATTCGCTGAAGAAACAATGCATAACCAATATCATGGTATGGGCAGTATCTCACGACGACAAGAATGGTACCCATGCCAGGGCGTTGCTCAAAGGGATGGGTAAGGAGGTCGCAGACCTGCCTAAGATTGAGGCCCAGCCCGCGGCCACAGAACCCCCTAAACCGATCTCTCTTTGCCGATGGGTAGGTCATTGACTATACTATGGGCTCATCAAGTTATCAGCTAACGCGATGATAGACGAATTGTGGAGAGAGTTGCCCTTCAGGATTCAAGAACGTCATGAGAGGCGGGACGTCGCAGACTATGGTCGATGACAATAAATGCCTCGGTGTGGGCACTGCTCATCAGTTATGCTGTCCCGCAGACAACTCAATGCCCACGTGTACTTGGCGCGGTCATCGTAACAGCGGAATATGTAGGCCTGGCTGTTTAGAAGGAGAGGTAACGTGACATTTTCATTTTTGTCATAGATGTCTGCAGGCTGACAAATCTTCGTAGGCCGAAGTTGGTACAATCGAAACCGCGTGTAATTTTGGCTATCAGAGCGCATGCTGCACTGAGACTGGATCAACACACGCCTACGCACAATGCAAATGGGTGGGTGGCGACGCCATATGCTCGAAGGCAGGAGGCCATGCAGATTGTCCCTCGGACTACCCGACCTTCATCGTCGCTTCAAGTAATGCTGCAGGCGGTCAGCCCACGTGCGATACAGGAGCACGAAGCTACTGTTGCAAGGGATCTGAGGCACCAGCAGCATTTACTGACTGCAAGTGGTACACTCAAGCTACAGGACGAGTGAAGGGAAATAAGAAGTGCGAGACCTCGTGCCCCAAAGACACTGTGCGTCTCTCAATGCAACATCTGTCCGAATGCGAAAACGGTGGCGGATTGGATTGGGGTGCGTATTGTTGTAAGGGCGAGCCACCCAAGAAACTGGAGCCAAGAGAGCCTACAACTGGCAACGTAAGTAACTGCTTCCTTCATCATGCAAAACAATTTACAGCTACTGACAGCCTCCACAGAACCAATATACAGATTTCGTCGCTCTGGTGAAGGCTTACATGAAAGACCCAACATGTCCCAACACCAGCGGGCACTTGGACTACTTTCACGGTGACCCTGCGTTGAAGCGCTCCTTGACCTCCCGACAGGAGTGCTCCGCCAACAACAACTTCCTCCGTCTTGCTCAATGGATGTCGTCCCTCATCGTCAACCCTGTCATTGCCATGAATTCCCCCGCCATCATCAATGCATGGGACACATTAGTAGCGAACGTTATTGACTCTGGACTCCTCTACCTGAGCTTGCTCAGACAACGCGAGCTCACGAATTGGGATCCGACTGCTATGATGACCGATGTCCTTTTGGACGCACAGTCTGCTGGCGCTGGTATGAGAGAGTATCAAGCTGCGGCTCCCCTGGTCTGTGAGATTGAAGGAGGCGCAACTCGCAAGCGGGATCTATCAGGTACCGAGTTGCTTGTAAGTAGGGCAGTATTTGCAGCCCAACCATCCATATCTTTGGCCATTGTAATTGTTGCTGATATTATCAACTAGTCATCTTTGGACAATGAAACTGCGATGATCGATCGCCGGCACGTCACTCCCTTCTATGGGGCGACAACTGCAAGGATGCCCAACACTCGCCTTATTTTGCAGGGCATTGAAGATGGGCACCTTACCTTGCATTATGCACGATACCAGTACATGGGGGGCCGAAACACGCAAGGCCATCCTCCTGGTCCAATCCTCGAGCTCGCCTATTGGGTATGTTAACTAGCTTCTAGCAAAAGTATAAAGTCTACCGTTGGACATGTAACTAACTGGCCCCCGCGCTCTTGTAGGTTGGCCGTAATCCTGGCGTTGCTCCAACGCAGGCAGAAGAGACTAGTGACAATCTCGACCGATACCGCGATTCAGGCACGCCAGGTACTGACCGATGGGTCATGTTCCATATCCACTTTGATCCGACTAACCCGAATTTATGGTTGCAAGACCGCAATACTGGAGAGGTATGTCACTGCATTGAGTAGCTATGTCAGAGCAGGACAAAACTGACGACTTGAAGGTCTACATCGGAACACCAAGTATTCGCATCTACCATGGTCAGACTACAAATCATCGGAGTGGTGGCCATCCTAGGGCACTACGCGTCGATAATTCAGCTGGGGATCGAAACATTCCTGGACAGGTTAATACTCGATCAGCTTTGATAACTTGTCCACCAGGCCAACTTTTCTATATTGGCTACGGCGTGCCAAATAATCACGCAATTCACACAGGACCAAGGCCCCCCACGCAGTTGACACCCGTGCCTTACGCCCCAGCTCAACCTGCCAACCCACCTGCTGGTGCGCAGCTCCCGTTCGGCAACGCACTACAACGATTTGGTGAGCGACTACGGCGTGAAGGTCTCGTCGACGCTCAGCAATATGGTGGACTCTCCTACCTCTTCAACCCCGCGGGTAAGTTTCTTCCTCTCCTGCCTTCTTTTCTTGTTACGCAGTTCGTTCCAGACTATGGCATACCATAGATACCCACACACTCTGTATCCCATCACGCGTCGTCATCTACATTACTTCCTCGGATACATGTTAATGTTACGAAATAGGATACCAGGCACCTCCAGCAAACGGAGGTAACCCACAATTCGACATCAATGCAGGCGCTCCTACACTGATCGGTACGAACAACTATCAAGCTGGAGGTCCATACTACGATAATTGGGTTCCAGACGGCCAAGGCGGATACATCATGAATCCTTACGTACCACCTTAGAGTATTGTTTGCTATATAGCTCCATACACCTTATGTGATACTCTGATAACCATTTATCCGGCTGTATTTTCATTTGTCATTGAAAACTCTTGTGAGCGAAATTTCAAACAAAAGTAGTGTCACTCACCTCAGCACTTGCACCTACAATTGGAGGTGTTCATGTTACGGTCACCCTGTTTGTTATACGGAAGTTTAAAGCTCTCATATCTTGAATTGTCTGCAAGTCGGTCGAGCAAAACGCCCTCAACTAGGTTGAGCTGGCGTCTTCGCAAACAGTCTGTAGACTTGGCGATTACTCAATTTGATCGCATGTCACCCTACCCTAGAGGATGTGCGCGATTGCACTACAATCGCGCTGTGTTGTTAGTAGCGATAAGAGAGCGATAAGAAGCGAGGCGTAGGATCGCGGTAGTAGGATCGCGGTTGGCTAGCTACGCTACTAAGCTAGCTATAGAAGATCGAAAGAAGCTATTTTGTGCAGATTTACGCTAGGATTTCAGATCTTTACTCGGTTTATCGATAGCTGCTCTCGTTGTTGAGATATCCGCGTTCAAAGGTATAGTTTGAGTTTTGGTGTTCCTCACGTGACTACAAGCTACACAGCCACTGTTGCAGCGCTCTAGCCACACAATTTGATATAGAATTACGCCACAATTTCAAATCTGTATCTAGTTTGTTGATAACTGC